TTTCTGTGTATTTTAACATCACAATAAAATTTTTTGTTAATGTCAATTACATAAAATTAATGCAATATAATATAAAGCTTTTTTTGTCTTTATTGAATAGACACAGAAATGATTTAGTCTTCAGAAATTCTCATCATAATACTAGAATGATAAAAATATATATAATTTAAGTCATCTCAATCACTAATAACTTTTGCACTAATAACATATGTATTCATAACTTCAATTTGTTTTAATCAGGCCAAAATTTGATGGCCTTAACTTTGGCATTAATTCTTGAATTTCTTCATGTAATTATCGGCAAGGCTTAGATTTCTCCAAGGGACAGTGGCATTGCTGTTATTGTTCACAATTTAAAACCTCGCTTCATTTGTAAATTTTTAGAACACCAGCATATATAGAATTTTAAAACTTGATAATCTACTAGAATAATTTTTAAGTCTATATTAATTGGATGCTATAACATGTACTTTATATAAGAGGTATATTATGCATTGCAATGAAAAAAATCTAGCAAATGCATTGTGATTCACACTTTTACTTTTTAAGACTATATAATGAAAAGTATAAAAACCACACATAAAGCTGAAAAAAAAGTTTTACTCATCTTTTACGTAGGAAAATTTCCTGTATTGAACCATTTAAAAATCCTGGTGATAATTCTGTATGTGCTACTTTTAGAAAAAGAAGTATATATTATTATACAGTTGGAATGCCATATTCATGAAGACCAACCCTGAAGCTTAATATTTTCTTGGTGTTGAAAAATTTTTGTTGCTGCAAAATTAAGTTTCATGAGTATGAAGCATTTAAATTTAAAATACAATGTATTTGCATTACATATAACATGAATAGTTGCTTTTAAGGTAAATAGTTTAGTATCTAACAAATTGTTACCAAAATAAGTAAATGTGGGCATTTCTTTTGAGTATAAAATAAAAGTGTTTTTATGTTAAGGTAAAATGTCACATAAACCACTTTAATAATGATGTGAGAAATCCTTCAAGGGTTTTATAAACAGTATAGCAGATTATACTGTTGTGGATGGAAAATCCAGGACTTGTGAGTTTTAAATGAATGCTACAAAGGAGTTTTAATCTTGTGTCCCCCATGTTTATAAAGCCCGCTGCTTAAAGTTCTCCCTTTCTATTTCCATCCTGCTTTCCAGTTTCTGATTATCTGAAAATATAGAAAAGTTAAAAGACTTAAAGGTACTAATATGTACCCCAGAAGTCCAGGATGTCAAGCACCTCTATGTCAAAATACTTGTTATAAATTCACTCAGGATGTTGGGGGTGGGGGAAGGAGAGAGTCCCAAGATGTAACCACCTAAGAAAAAAAAACATTTTTTTTCTGGTGAAATATGTTTTCAACAATACTTGAAATATAGCTTTAGGATTTTTCTTTGAACTGTTTGAATGTTTGCTTTTCTTGGATTATAAAGACAGTTTACTAATAATTATTTAATGAACAATTGCTAATGGCTACAGACAGAGATGTCCTTCCAGCAATGCTTTTTTAATTGTAGGAAGTGGAATGTTGGTTAGAAATATTTAATTGGAATTTCTGGAAGAAATTAAGATCTAGAACAAGTCTAGGAAATTTAAAGGCCTGGCCAGCAGGACATTCAGAGCTCCAGACTTCCCAAGGGTTGCAATACTTCTGAGAGCAAGCTGCTTTTTACTAAAGTTAGCAGTTTATAAAAATTAACTACCTGAAAATAATAGCTGAAAGCCAGACTTTAGAAATGCCAAACCCTATCCTTGCTTACAGCAAGCGTAAAACCAGATTTCTAATCCCAGGGAGCCACAATCACCTATTGATTGCCACGACATCTGTGCCCCTGTTTTTGGAAGCAGGGTTTTCTGCGGAGGCAGGGCTGAAAAATCCGACCATTTCAGTGCCCCTGTGTAATAAACAGCTGGTAGGCTTCCCAGCGAGGAGTCCTGAAATCCACACCTCGGCTCACTTGTTTCTCACCTATGGTCCGACCCAATTAGAAGTCCTCCCTTCCGCATTCAGAAGTTACCCTTTTCAGGAAAGCAATCTAGGACGCAGCATCTCTAGACCTCATGTAGTAGGTACCCTCTAGCAGACAAAGGGTGAAAGCCTTTGTGTGCCACCAAATACAATCTTCTCCGCCCCAGGCCAGCCCAGAGTAAGCCACAGCGCTGGGGACAGGACTCGGTTCACCCGTGGGGTAGGACAGTGACCTAAAGATCAGAGTCTCTTAACCCCTTTCTTGCCCCAGAGCTTCCCGCGGGATAAAGTCTCTTAACTCTCCTAGACTGGCGGGGGCGGATGGAGGCTGGGGGTCAGAGTGGGTTTGCTGAGTAGGTCCCTAAGGCGATCACTCGATCCTGGACCAAGTTTGCATCGCGCCAAATGCCCCGACTCAGTAGAGTTGCCAAATGCAAATCGTGGAGAGGAGGCTGAGGCACAGACAGGGACGACCGGGGGATAGAGGACGAGTGTGTGCGCGCGCGTGTCTGAGCGTGCGCGTGTGTGGTGTGTTTGGGGAAAGGGAGTGGGCAGACTGGAAAGCTGAGTTCGGAAACCGACCCCTCCCCCAAGGAGCCCAGGCACAAGAGAAAGTTGATTCGTTTCCGCTCTCGCTTGTCAAGTTCACACTCAGGTTCAGCCCGTGACTCCCCCAAGACTTCTGAGTAGCCTGGCCCCTTCTCAGTCCTTAAAACAATCAGCGCTGTTGGCGTGGGAGGGTAGTCTGTAGGAAATGCGCAGAGATGACAGGGGAGAGACAGTACAGTGTAACTCAAGGAGGGTCCAGGAGGTAGAGAGGACTTCCACACATTTTAAGGCTGATTTTCCTCCAGCACATACCCCCGGGCCCCTTGAGAGCCGTCTTAAGTTAGATCCCTCTGGGACTAGGGGTGGGAAGGTGGGCTTCCACTGCTTTCTCAAGGTGAGCAGGAGGCAGCACCTTCAAACTTCCTGAGTCCCCCAAGTGGGCACCTTGGCGAATCTGGACTGTCACTGGCAAATGCTCCTTCAGGAGTAGGGCGATCAAGCTGCAGCCTACTCTTGTCCCACACTGTTTTCTACAATTTAGGGGACAGTGAGTGGCTTTTGCGCCCCAGGTCCTAGAGCCGTGTTGGAGCTTGGGGCGGGGGGTAGGGTGTAGTTTCAGGCCTTCATTCAGAATATAAGAACCTAGCCATGGGAGGAATATTGACTGGAAGCAGAGAAGTAAGAGTTGGAGGAACTCAGTGCCCCAGAGAGTAGGAGAAACTGAAAGGAGAGAGGTTGGTGGTGAGACAGGACAGAAAAAGAAAAACAAAGACTAGGATGTCGCCTACTTAAAGAGTCTGCACTCTCCAATTACCTACGTATAGGTTCATGAAAGAATCTGGTTAGTGAAACCCCCAACCAGGACACTAAACAGGAACCAGCTTGTACTCAACGGCCCCCACTACCTGTGTGTGGGTCATTCAAGACCATGTCACCAGGATGTCTCCGCCCCGTAGCTTCAGCTGCCTCCCTGCCAGCCACCTCCTTGGACGGCCTCTCTGTTCCTCTTCTTTCCTTCTCCTGCCACGTCCCAGCGCCTAGCTGGCTAAACCCAGTTTCTGCCTTAGCGTCCAGGTTCGGGGTTCACTTCCAGCGGAGCAGGAGGGAACATGCCCGCTGCCCCCTCCCTACGCTCCTACAGAGGTGTTGGAAGTGTGGGTGGGAGGTGGACACAGGCGAGTGGAAGGTGATGAGTGTTTGGAGCCCAACTCTCCCAAGTTCTTCTTGGCTAGTCCACCTGTCGCGTGGGATCAGGGATGTAGGAAGGTCTGGAACCGGCCGTTTCCAACTTTCTGCTGCCCGGGCCCAGAGAGACAGGCGAAGCAGAGAGGAGAGCTTCCCCACCCCCGCCGCCACCGCCCCGTCGAAAAGAAGGCAGAATGGCTAGGAGGAAAACCAGGGGTGGGGGTGTGGGGCGGGTGCTCAGAGGCTTGCACTTATCCCCATGGCACGCGGGCACCCGGCCCGCTCTCCGAGAAAAGAGTGAAGTGGCCAAGCCGAAAGTGGAGGAAAGTGGGTCTGGGCACAGCGCGCAGGAAACCTGAACGTCCCGGCACCGAAGGGGACAAGGCAAAGTGATCCCTAAAGCAGGTCAGGCCATCCGTCCCGGGAGCCCAAAGTGCAGCCGGAGCAGGTGTTCTCCCCTGTCTCACGCGCGTCACCCCACAGCCGCCATCTCGCCCAGGGGACCTGCCACAGCAGTCGCTGCCGTGGGTCCTTGCCCAAGGTTCACCCTGCACCGCCTCCCGCAGCGGCCCTTTGACCAAGGAGCCTTCCCCGCTGCGGGCAGCGCGGGCTTTTATCCTGTGGAACTTTTTCCGCAAAACTTTTTCAGGATGGTGCTCGCCCTTGGGCGGCGCAGGCTCGGGCACGCGGACCTGGCCAGGGCGCAGCTCCCGCGCGAGGGACGCGCGCAGGGGACGATCGCGGAATCTGCGTCCAGCCCCACGACACTGCTCCCTCTGCCTACCACTCCTACGAAGGGACAGGTCGGCTGACCTGGACGCTGGGGGCCTCATAACCTGGAGTGTGTGTATCCGTCCCGACGCCTGCCCGTGCGCCCCGTGAGCCCAACCCGGCCGGCGACCGCCGCGCACTCGGCGCGGCTAGCGGCTTCTGCCCAGAGGCATCCTTATCCCGTCTCTCCTTCCAACCGGCGCTACAATCCGCAGCCGAGAGTGACACCCCAAAACAGTCCAGTAGAACTCAAGGACTAGGAGGAAGCAACTAGAGTCGTCCCACTCTCCCCAAAGCGCCCTTCCGCGTCCCTCCGAAACTCCCGGGAGGCATCAACACCTTCCCACAACTTTCTACGCCCAGGCCGTAGGCAGCCCACCTGCGAACGCGAACTCCGGAACTGCGCCCCGCCAACCTCTTTCCTCTTCGGCTGGGTGCGCCACCCCACCCCCCAGCCCCCATTTACCATCTGGCTTGAGTTGGCCGGACCGGGGAGACGCGGCGGGCTCGCTTACCTCGCATGGTGTAGCCGCTCTCCCGCTCCGCGTAGTCATGTAGGTGCTCCCAGCCCGAACCCGGAGAGCCCAAAAATCCCGCTCAGCACGAGTGAAGAAGGTAGACGGTGAAGAGCTGCTCTGCCGAGAAAACCATCCCTTTAGGTGGACGCCGTGGCCGGAGGGTGACGTTTGCCGCCGCCGCCGCCGCTGTGTTAACAGTTTTGATGATGGTGGTGGTGGTGACTGTTCTGATGGTTGTTTGGTTGTTTGTTTTCAGGAAGGGTGAAAAAAAAAAATGTGCGTGCTGGCTGGCTGGCTGGTGCCTGGGTTTTGTTTTGCTATTTTCTTTTTTCTTTCTCTTCAGTGCGCTTGCTTTTTAAAAACCGCCACCGCCTCCGGCTCAGAAGATTTCTTTTGTGATCACTTGGACTGAGGAGGAGGAGGAAGGGCAGCAGCAGGAGCAGGAGTTGGTGGTGGTTTTGTTAGTTACAAAAAAGAGGGAGAAGGAGCAAGGGGAAAAAAAGGAAACAGAAAAGGAAGAAAGGCGGTGTGGATGGCAGAGCATGTGCGTTTTCACATGACATCTGTGCCTGTTAGCGGATCCACAACGTGAATTTTCACTGTTCAGTTACAGGGAGGAAGGGAGCGAGAGAGAAAGAGAGAGGAGAGAGATGGAGAGAGAGAGTCGAGAAGGGGCTTATACGCGAGGGCGGGTTTGGCTGGGACTTCCAGGCCCCGCCTCCTGTCAGCGCCGCCGCCAATCAGCGCCCGGCATCTCTTGGAAGGGCTGGGACCACGGGAGACCCGCTTGAAGGCGAGGTGAGAGGAGGGGGTTAGGACACTGGAGCCTAAGGCGGCCGGGGCTGGAACTGGGCAGTAGAGACTGTCCGAACTGGGTGGAGGAGGAGGAGAAGGGCCGATTACGGGCGCAGATCTGCAGGTGACATTCACTTCCCACTCCAGGAGGAGGGAGGGAGTACTGACTAATCCTCATAGTCCTTGGAGGGGAGAGGCTCGGGGCTCTCTGGGTCCCAGATTGCTTCCCTCTCTTGCAAAACCTGTGAACCCGGATTGTTAGTTTTGAATTTATGGCTGACCTTCGCAGAGTCCATTTTCGGTAAACTCCGTGTGCCTGGCGGGGGTTTCCTAGGGCGGGACGCTTCAGTTTTAGTGCCAGAATCAACTTTCATCACTTAGAGCACAACTAAAGTGCAATCCCATGCAAGTAGCTGTCCTCTTCCTTTAACACCATCTTTTACACGCTTCCTGCCTCAGTCCTAAAAAAAATAAATAAATACATAAACAAACAAGACAGTGAGATCTCTTCTGCCTTTTAAAATAATTTTACAAAATGTTCGTGCTTTCTTTCATTGAAGAAATTGATTTTATTAGCATTTGTAGTTGCTATTTAACTAGCGTTGGGCCACAGGACTCAAGGATAAGAGCCCCAGGTAGCAGTGTGGCTACCTTAAGTGATGCAAGGTAAAAGTTGATGCTACAAGGTACGATTGTGTGGTGCTACTGGTGAAGGTGCAGGGCTTTAGGTGGGAGGAACTAATTATTCTAGTTGCTACTAGAAGACGTTTGTCTAGAGGGGTCTGACACTTATAAACCTAGGTAGGTGTTGTATTCCTTCAGTAAAAATTGTCCTCTATGACCACTTATTTGTATTGTGGTAAAAATCTGTAATTAGAAAAGAACAGAAACTGTTCCTTGTGTTGGAGTAGTTTCAGGTGAAGAACTGTTCCTTTTCAACTTTTCTCCTCTTATTGGGCATATTAAACAGATGATCACATCTACTTCCCATAGTGAAACTGAAAGCCGCTCAGTCCTGTTGGACTCTTTGCGACCCCATGGACTGACTGTACCATGGAATTCTCCAGGCCAGAATACTGGAGCGGGTAGCCATTCCCTTCTCCAGGGCATCTTCCCAGCCCAGGGAGAACCCAGGTCTCCCGCATTGCAGGCAGGTTCTTTATCAGCTGAGCCACCAGGGAATTTCTTAAATACTTTGATTAATTGATCATTCCAAAAGACGGAGAGGTGAAAAAACTTTTCCTTATCTACTCAATTTTAAGGCATTAAGGCTTCTACTCTATAGCATACCTGTTGGCAAGAGCAGGCCACATGATTGTTTAGATATCTGAATAATTTGATTATTACTAGTATTTATTTATGTCATGTAACACAAAGTGCAATGTAGAATTTGGCAATTATTTAGTTAAATAAATCACCCTAGTCTGCCAAGTAGTCTCCCCACTCCTTTAAATAAAAATGGATTACTTTCTGAATCTTCACTAGTGTTAAATTAACTCAGCCCTGCTGTATGCCCTTCCATTTGCAAGCCAATGTGTAATTTAGGAAAATTTTAGTATTAAGAGTGAAAGTTGATTGAGTCTTTAATTAAATGAAATGAACAAAAGGAAGTTACTGTTCAGAATAGTTATTCCCTTCTAAATACCTTTCCCCTAGATTTGTAACTGACACAGTAGTTAATCTTTTAAGATAATATTTAAGGCTCCCTAGTTTTATCATTTTTAATCAAGTAAAATATATTCATCATAACTACATTAAAGCGGTACTAAGTTATGCCTAATTTAGTTGCTTCATTAAAAATTACTGAATATAAAATAGTCAAGAAACAAATTGTGACTACATCATTTTAATTTTATGTGCTTTAAGCACAGACACAGGAATATTGAAAATTCCAAAGCCTTTGTAAATACTATAATTCTTATTGTTGTCATTGTTTTAGATTCTATTTCTCATTAAAGAGGAATTTCAAAATTCAAGAATTTTAACTCTTTCATCTAGTCCTAAATTTCTAAACATTTATTGAATATTGAAATTTCTTTTGACTGTTATAGCATCTGTAATTATTTACAAAGATAGTCAAAACATATATTAAAAATATTTTTTTCCTCCTCCTACATATTTTTATATATCTTTTGCTTTGTGGGTTAACAGGCATTCTTTTGCTCAGAACCAAATCACATATTTATTAGTCCTCCCTGAACACTTTTGAAAAGTTGTTAATTAGAAATAAAAACAATTATGTTAAATCATTTTTTCAAAACTATATGCATATTATATATTGGTAGTGCAAAAGTAACTTATTTTCTCTCTTAGAGTGGAATAAATGTTCACAATTCATTATAATGTGGTGATCTGGGATATTCTGTATCTTCCTAAAAATTTAAAAACCTGGTTCTTGAGTATTTCTAGTAACTTTCAAATTGTTTCAAGTGAATGGAACCTAATTATGTAAAATAAATATTCAGATTTAAATGAAAGAAATCACATTTTCCCAAGAAGTCACAAAAGACTTATGTATAATCTGTTTTTGTAATCTATCTGCCAGCAAATATCCATATTTCAAGTGGCATAGTAATATAGTAATATAATATCCTTGATCACATGAAGTTCTGTGTCAATAATTTTACTTGAGTGATTATGGAACTGCCTAGATTTCTATAAGCTTTAAACTTTACTTTTGGCTCTGGGCCTGAAGGATGTTCCTAGTTGATAGCTAAATTTTGATGAATTTAAATGATAATCACTAAGTCACATAGATGGTATTCAATCTCAAGAAGTGATATAATTTAATTCAGGTTGCCTGCTTACCTGCTTGTTCACATATCACCACCCCATAAGGTTTAGCTGTATGCCCATGGAGAAATAAAGACGTGCAATATCCTGATAGACGTGAAGGTTTAATATGAGCCAGCCAGTTAGGGTGAGCACGGCCTTTAGTGTTACAGTATTTCAATCCTAAAGTGCTCAAACCCAAATTGAAAGGAATGGTTTACTATATTCTGAGCAGGTCAGTCTATATATATAGAGAGAGAGACTACTTTAAATCACTGTGAATCTTGGGGGGATATTGGCAACAATGATAATGATATTACACTTAGAATGACTGAAAGACTGGATGTTTTTAGCCTGGTTTAGGGAAGCTGTGTGGCTGTGAGTTGAAAAAGAAGTATAAAGCTGCCTTTAAATATTGGAAAAGCCAGAAAAAAATATAAGAATTTTTAATGTTTCAACATATTAAAAATGGAAAACGTAAAAAAAAAAAAAAAGGAAAAGGTGAAGTATTAAGTTCCCTGTTGCTGAAGGAATTTGAGAAAAGATTGAATGAAAGACTGGTTAAAAATGCTCAACTATACAGACGTCTGTACTAGGCTAAAAATTGATTGTCCCCATTATCTCCAGTTTATTCGGTAACTCTTAAGTACATTCACAGGAAGGCAGCAACCTCCACCCCAGTAGCTGCCGCAGAGCTGTGCTTCCTACTGGGAATGCAGGCTCCTTGAGAGCAGGGGCCAGAATTTCCCTGGGGTTTGGAAGAGCTGCTGGTACTTTATATACACATAAATACACATTTGATTTTTATATTTGGCTGTGCTGGGGTCTTCCTTGTGGCGCAGGCTTTTTGCTGGTTGCAGTGAGCAGGGGCTTCTCTCTAGTTGCAGTGCCTGGGCTTCCATTGCGATGGGTTCTCTTGTTGTGGTGCATGCGCTCTAGCTATTCTGCAGCATGTGGGATCTTCCTGGACCAGGCATTGAATTTGTCTCCTGCATTGGCAGGCAGATCTTAACCACTGGACATCCAGGGAAATCCTCCTGGTACTTTATGGGGGATTTTTTCCCCCTGCTGTGCGGTGCTCAGTCGTATGTATCTGACTCTTTGTGACTCCACGGTCTGTAGCCCATTGGGTTCCTCTGTTCATGGAATTTTCCAGGCAAGAATACTGGAGCCGGTTGCCATTTCCCACTCCAGGGGATCTTCCTGACCCAGGGATTGATGCCCCGTGTCCTGCATTGGCGGGTGGATTCTTTACCATTGCACCATTTGGGAAACCCTTTATAGGTGCTCGGTGATTATTGGTTGAACGAATCCTTTTTATTCTTTTTCCATTGGATGTGGACCAGAAATGCAGCAAAGACCTCAATAAGATTTCTTCTTTCTTAGTCTTTACTAAATAGGAGAGAGAGAAGAGGGAGAAAAGGGGGAGGGGAGAGATGTTTCTTTCAGTTTAAATTCTACTAATATGGGGAAGAAAAAAAGGATGTTGGAGTTTGGTTACATAATTATAAAAGAGAGCAAAATCTAGTTATTTTCATGTTTATTACTATTTTCAATTTTATTCCCAGATGAAAAAATCTTCATAATCTTTTAGTACTTCAATTTCTACTTCATTTTTAAGTATGGATGCAAATTCAAGTTTTCAGAATGAAA